CTGGGTCCACTGGGGCTCGAACTCTGAACCTTCTTGCTGTGAGGCGACAACACTAAACTGGTGAAACGTCACATTGTCCAATGTAACATTGGATATGATTTCATTCTGATTATGGGGTGATACACTATTGTCCCTCTGCATGCTCTCACACAGTAAATGAAACTTCCCCCGGAGGAGCTGGAGGAAGTGTCTGGAGAGAGGGAGGTCTGGGCATCTTTGCTTAGACTGCTGCCCCCGCGACCCGGCCCCGGATAAGCGGAAGAAAATAGATGGATGGATGGAAAACATGAAGCAGATGTATTTACCCTTACTGTTTTTATATTCTGATAGTGCAAGCAAGAAAAATCATAAATTCTCAGGACTGGGTATTTCTTTGGAGCCAAACCTTTCCATATACAAGATGCAACCAAGTCTTTCTTCCTAGAGAACACCTTAGCTTTAAAAGTGCTAAACCTGTAGCCAATAAAAGGCCAACTGTGTCAGGGTTAGTTGAGTAACAGAAGCAAGGCCTCTATAACCATAAATGTTAGCCTCTAAAACTCACAAGTGAATTGACAACTATGGTACTACTAGTATGGATTGGAAAATTTTCATTTTCCCTGAGGGGACATTTGGTTTGCAACCACAGTGTCACAATCTGCAGACAAGAATAATATCACCTTGGTACAAATAACTTGGTGCCATCATCATGCAAATGCAGTAGAGTATAAAATGCGAATCCATCATCCCTTTAGCTATATAAATAACTTAAAATAACAAAATCTTTAATTAATAAAAAATAGCTGCTGAAGAATTGATATCAGATATCTGTTTGATTTGGCTCTCTTGGGAAAAGTAAACCTCCTTTCTGATGGAGAGAGTCAAAACTGCTTATGAAGACAGTGGTGAGTGTCTGCCAAAATTGCTTTTGCACTCTGGACAACTCTTGTATGATAAACATGTCTAAGATCATTAAAGTTATTGCCACAAATCTTTTGACAAAGTTTAACAATATTTCCCCAACCTTTTCCTATTACTAAGACTGCCAAACCAACAGATCATTGCACAAGGTAAAATTGACTCAATAAAAGACCAAATGTTTCCAAAAGCAATCTACATTAACAGACCCCCTATCTCCTCAAGAACAAATCACCGGTTATTTTTCTTGCATATGGCATCAATGGTCATTTTTCTGTCATCTAAAATAGTTCCCAGATATCTACTGCATATTGGCTCGCTATCTCTACGGCTATGCCATTAATAAAGATCAGTGTTAGAGCAGGCAGATTCCTTCCAAAATCAATTGGTCTCCAAAACAAAAAAAGATGCTAATTTGCAAATATGAATCACTGCACTATTTAACAAAATTGTCCACAATTGCACAATGGCCTACTCCATCATCCTGCAGAAGGCTGACAATCACTGAATGATCTGCAAATTTTATTAGAAATATGGACTCAAACATGTTCCAACAGTCATTTGTATCGAGCACAAATAGCAAGGAGGGACAAAACTGTTAGGTGTCGGGCAATGAAGGACCCAAAATGCAGACACGTTTAGAGTCTAGTGTTTATGCAGTTCAATATAACTGAAGAGGAGCAAAGGGGTAAACACATGCCCAATCTGACGGACTTCACAATACAGGTACAAAACTAATATCTAAACAGAACAGTCAGGGAGCTACATGAAACAAATTCTAAATGACTAAAACAAACCCAGAGAGCTAGCCAAGAATCTTCCTGACAGGAAAAACTCAAAAAAACAGTCCAAAAGCAACCAAGGTAACTGATATAAAAAACTTACAAAGAGGACAGGCAGGGTGCAGTACGGAAGGAGACAGATGACGGGGGCAACAAGGTATGGAGAACAGATGAGCCAGCGACCACACTGAGGGAAGGGAGAAGGATATAAAGACAGGAGACCAGGCGGTAATGAGCAGCAGGTGGAAGCAATGAACAGGAATTGTGAACCAAGGTAAAGCTGGGGCAGGTGAGGTGACAAGACTGGAAATCTAACCCAAATAAAAGCACAAAACAGGAAGCAAGTCCACAAACCATAACAAAAACACACCCCTGGGGTAAGCTTGCTTCGGAAAAAGAATCATTTACACAGGTTTTCTGTGGCCTATTTAAAGAAGAAAAAAAAAACTGACCAACCAACATATTGTGCACAAGTCAATATCAGGTAGAATATGGGGCTGTATGCAATAAAAAGCTGATGAAAAAAAATCAGTCAAACACAAATGTGCATGTGTCTTCTTGCCCTTGAGATGCCCAGCAACAAGGTCCAACTGTGCTGTGGCATCCTCTACACCTTTTCCTGCTTGATATGCATTTTGGAATGGATCAGTTATGCTCTGTGACATAGTCAAAAAACTTCTATTCACAATACATTCAAAGCCTTTCATAACTAATGATACAAGTGCCACAGGACAATAATCATTCACCACTTTGGTGCTGGAACCTTGACGACAGGAACCATAATGGATTGTTTCCACAACACAGGAACTTTACTCTGTGATATGGAAAGCTGCAAAAAAACTAACTGAGAATGCGGCAGCTCTTATGTAGTTGGCCAATAATGCAGTCATATCAATGACTTTTCCTCTCATTTGTCTTTTCGAGAGTTCTCCAGACATCTTTTTCTTCAAATTTGATCTAACCATCCTGTGAAGGAACCCTAAATTCAGCCAATTCAGCCGTGAATTCATGTAAATCTTAGAAGAAACGATTTAACTCCTCTACTAGTATGAATTCAGGTTTATTGGGGTTGAACACCCCTGTTTTGTTATACCCAATTCCTACCATAAATTTAGTTCCTTTCAAGGCACAGCAAAAATTTCCTTTTTTAGTTCATCCCCCACTTTATCCTTTAGCCAGTTTTATTTCTCTCTTCATCAGCTTTTGAGCATTTTTCTGTTGATGAATATCACCATGTCAAAAAGCTAGCCTTTTCTGGTTAAGAATATTCTTGAAGGTTTTATTAACTCAAAGTTTATCATTGGAATACATTGTAATTATTTCCCTAGGAATAATCACTTGTTCACAAAAAGTAATGCAGCTTGATACAGTAAAGATCAGTTCATTGAAGTCAGTACACGAGTCTTTAAAGACATCCCAATTGGTGCTATAAAAACAGCCATTCAATTCAAGAATAGCACCCTCTGGCTATATTGCAACATCTTTGTGCTGAACCTTCCCTCTGTCGAGGGCTGACTGATAAACTGGAGCTAAAAAAATGCATTTGTGGTCAGAAGATCCCAGTGATGCCATCATATAAGATTTATAAGCTGCTTTTATTGTCCCATAGTACTGGTCCAAAACTTTACCATGTCTAGTTCAACATTTTGCATTCTAAAAAAATGGCCAAGGGACCTACTAAGACAACAAGTATTAAAATCACCAAGTATAAAATGCAGGGCATCAGGAGAAATGCCGTGCCAACAGTGCCCCAGTTTAAGAATGGTGGATGTTGCATCCTCCACATGGGCTTTAGAATAAATATATTGTAAGATTTGACTCTTATAGGCTCTAGTTACTTTATAAGCTTTAGTTACTTTTCAGTTCTTTATTTCCCTTGCTTATACATATTAAAACTGTACTGATACTGATGTATTCTACTGAGTGAAACTTTGGAACTGTATGCTGCAAATTCTGTAGAGACAGGATGTCTGTATCTTCAAGTAACCAGACGGCCTATTTTACATCTAACAAAGACCTGTTGGCCTGTTTTGCACCTTCACCTAGGCCCGTTTAGCATACTCACGAGGTCCTGCTTTGTCCTGTAATATGATTACACAGATAGGGGGTCTACAGTGCAGATAACCCATTGTTCAGTGTTCATTGATCAGCTGCCACCTGGAAAATCACATCACAACACACACACCTGGTTTAGATCACATTTCAGCAAGCAGACGCAGGCAGGGGTTGACCTGTTAACGCAAAATGACCAATAGGATTACAAAGCATGAAATATTGTACCTCTGTCCAGGGTGGACATAGCCCAAGCAGATAAATGTAATGTGAAAACATAACTCGTGGTTCAGAGAATGGATTTCCTGCGGGAGCTCTGTCGCTCTGATCCCAGCGCTGTATGGTTTCACCTGTGCCCAGACGTTGAGTAAACTTCCTGTTGATTTTAAACAGTCCTCTCCTGTCTTCACTTCTTGCACTTTCAATAAAAGAATTTGGGGAAACTCTAACATATACTATGGTCATAAATATTTGAGTAATTTCTTGTGGCAAGTAAAATGACAGATAAAAGATCGATGTGAGGACTACACAAATATTCTCTTACAAAAAATATATTTTATTACTTTCAATTACATGTACAGCTCAAGCAGGGTAACAAACAATATTAACAGAACAACTATGAAAATACTAGGAAAAGAATGAATGAATAAATAAATACAAACACTAAAATGCATAAGGGGAATGACACATAAACACAAGCCAGAGATATATAAAAAGCAAAATAAGAACACAGATCATAAACTATATGGCACAGGAAGGAAAAAGAAATATGAATCACTGCTTCACAGATGTATGCTTCCCCCAACCAGGGTGTGCGATCCTGTCAGGGAAAGTTGAATGCCCTCTCCTCTTCATCATGATCATTTAGTATAATCAGGCAAATTTATTTTCTTACAGTACAATTTTACAAACTGTAACCTGGCAGTACCTGATTTAGATGCACATGATTACTTACTCTCAAAATGATCAATTAATATGAATAACACATTCTATGTCCTGTTTATTTATATTTCTCCCTCTTAATAAAACTGGATAATTTTCATTGTACAAAATTGTTATTCAAAGCATTATTAATGCTTTAAATAAATTCTCCATCAACTAGCTGCTCTACTTGGTCATTTATGAAATCACCACATAATTCCAGGAGAATGTAAAATTTTCAAAAATGTTTTCTTTCAGAGTGTGTACCATGCTTTTTTGTTTACAGGCTGCAGTTTGTTCTGCAGTGTTAAACTGAACCTCTCCCTCAGAAGTGGTTCCATCTCATCATCTGGTATGTCCTTCATATCTAAGACATCGACTCCTTCCTCTGGCTTGTAGGTGACCTCACTGTAGGTACAGCCAATCAGGGCTCGGAATCCTGTGGGTGTTTGCAAGGAGCAGATAGATTTACAGGTAAATAGTGAAGTAGGATCTGTCTGAAGTTTGTGGTTTGCCTCAAAGAAATGATCAGCCTCACGAGGCACCATGGTGAAGCAATAGATCTGTTTCGTTACTTTTCTGCTGACCAGACTTGATTCAGCAAATTCTGGATTGATGACCTCTGGCTTTCTTCCAGTCTTCTCCAGCACCCACATGTCCCCTTTGTCAATAAGACAAAAGACCCCTGCTGCCTGAGGTTGGTCCATTCCAGAGACGAGCTCCAGGGGCTCCCGCATTTGGGAAGACACTCCAAAGCTTACATCTGTTATATAAGCCTTTCCATCAATGACCACCTTGTTGATGAGGTGAGTGTCATCAAGGCCAAATTCATTGATGGTACTCTGGAAAACTCTAGAGCTCAAGGTCACAGTGTCATAGCCCATTTGTCTGAGCACCCAGCCAAACAGGGAGTTGTTCTCAAGGCACCAACCTCCACGACCGCTCCTCACTATCTTATTGAAAATTACCTCGAGGTCCTGGGTAATCCTTTCCCCACAGTGAATGCTGAGGTTTTCAAATGGAATTGACAGGATGTGCTTTTTGTGGATCAGCTTCAGTGTTGCCAGATCAGGTTTGTCATGAGAGCCATCAAACCCAATTCTTTGGAAGTACTCCTCCAAATTCATCATGCCTGTAAAAACAGGATATGACATGATTTTATAGCACTGATCTACCTGTTGCACACAATATTACATAGAGATGGGCAATAAAATGATAATGATATGCATTGCAACAGACATCCTCAGTAACAATAAGAAATACATATGTTTGTACGTAAGTTAGCTGCGTTAGGAAAGCACATAACTTTTAGTTGCATGAACAAACGGCAAGCTCTCTCCATAGTTCATAAACAGCCAGTGATAATATGGTGTGCAACAAGTGATAAGCAAGCAGCCAGTCATTTATTAGGTTTATATTTTAGTTGCATAGTCCACATGTCATACAACAGAAGCATCATGGAACACAAGTGATGAGTGCTAAAAGTGAGGAAGAAATGATCAATTTAAAAAAGACAGCTCATCCTACCAGTCTTTCAAGTGTGACCAAGAGTACAGTTGTGTGTAAATTGCATAGGAGAACTGTTCTAACCAGTAGTAGCCTGCTGCTAATAACACATGGCTCTCGTGGTTCTCTGTTAACTTTTTGGATAAACTGAGAAAATTAAGAGATACTGACATGCTACTGAAATCTCTGCCAGACTATTAATAGGCTATGCGCTTGTTAGGTGTGACATGACATTCCATTTCCAGGTCCAAACTCTCCCATACCCAAATAGCAGCACCTGTCTTCCTCTACACAATAACATCTTTTTTTTTCATGATCAAAGCATCACTGAGAGAATGACTGTGTTTTTAAGATTCAAATCAAGTAGTCAGTGCTGTTGTTCTGCCTGGTAGCATAACAACACTTTATTACAGTAATATTAAATAAATAAATAAATAAAAAAAAAAAATTCCCCACTCGCCCCCCACTTTGGGGCGGTCTTGTATTCCTTCCCCCCCACTTGGGTCCTCTACCAGAGGCCTGGGAGCTTAAGGGGCCTGCGCAGTATCTTAGCTGTTCCTAGCACTGCACTCTTCTGGACAGAGATCTCAGATGTTGTTCCTGGGATCTGTTGGAGCCACTCTCCCAGTTTGGGGGTCACAGCCCCCAATGTTCCTGTTACCATGGGGACCACTTGTGCCTTCACCTTCCACATCTTTTCTAGCTCTTCTTTCAGCCCTTGGTGTTTCTTGAGCTTCTCCTGTTCCTTCTTCCTGATATTGCTATGACTTGGGATTGCTACATCTATCACTACGGCCTTCTTCTTCTGTTTGTCCACCACTACTAGCCAGCCAGTGTGCATTACAACAGGAGGCAGCCCCATCCCCCAGTGTATTTTGTTGTCTCCTTCTCCTCATTTTGGTGTGCCAAGCAGCAGTTTGCTCAGTACTTCCCCCTGTGCTCGGGAGTAAATACCCATTTCAACTGCGACACTGAGAACCCGATGGCTGATGACACTAGCAAATTGCTGCCCAGAGTGAGGAGAAAAAGACAACAAAATCCACTAGAACAAGCTACAAAATGGGCTTTATTGGAAGTGTTTTCAAATATCTGGTCTACTTTTACTAGATAAAAGACTTTAACAGTGGCGACAAAGTGGTTGGTTTTGCACAATGTGCGTCTTGTTTGTTTGCCCATTTCTGTTAAAGCGTAACATAGCTGTCTACCGACTGATTCTGTGGCATGCACTGGGAAAATATTTCAATGAGGGATTATAAATAAGAGGAATCATAAATGTATATTCTTACATTCGTTAGTAGTGGGAGCTGGCATACATCAAACAACATGCACTGTGGTTAACTGATGACAGAAGCTCAAACTTGCTAGTAAACTAGGATATAACCATGTCTGAAGAAAATACTGCCTATAAGAGCATTGTTTCATCAGAAATATTAAGTGTACTGTCTGTCTCATTATTCCAACAAATCCATATGGCAGCCGGACATTGTATATTGGCAATTTAAATACATTTTGCAACAACAGGTCTTGATTGATTTTTCACTGCTGAAAAATATGTTTCCATCACCCTTTGCATCTGAATACCTATGCTAATGTGGTCATAATCATCAGTGAAATTCATGCCGGTTGACTTTCTTTTACACACACACACACACATATACATACATACATACATGCATATATATATATACACACACATATACATACATACATACACATATATATATATATACATACATACATACACACATATATACACACACACATATACACACATATATACACACACACATATACACACATATATACACACACACACACACACACAGTTGTACATTACACAGTTACACACACGAATAATTACTAATACTACTAGTTAATAAGTACTCCCTCAGAACAAAAGTGGTTTAATTTTTATCAGATGTCATTTTTCATTTTTAGTTGCCCCCAAGTTGACTAACAAAATTCTTTGTTGAGTCCAGCCCTAAAAACTACTATGGCTACATTATCCACCAGTTACAAGCTTGCAGCTAATGTTACACTAACATAAGATGCTAACCAGACTTACAACCCCAAATCAGAAAGAGCTGGGATGGTATGTAAAATCTAAATTAAAACATAAAATAGCAATTTTTAAATCATCTGTGACCCGTATTACACTGAAAACAATACAACAGCACATTATTTTATGATATCACATCAATTTTGTTCTTTGTTCAAAATAAACATTTCAATTCTGATGCTGCAACACATTCCAAAAAAAGGGTGGGACAGTTGCATTTCAGGGCCAGTAAGGCGGTAAAACAATGAAATGATGATTTCATTTCAAACAGGTGATGTCAGCGGGTGACTGCAATCATGATTTTTGTACCAAAGTGGCATCCAGGAAAAGCCAAGGGCCAAGCAAAGATGGGCCGAGGACCGCCAGTTTGCCAACATATGAGTGAGAAAATTACTGAAATGTTTCAAAACAATGCTCCTTAATGGAAGATAGCAAGGGATTTGGACATGTCACCCTCTACAGTGAAGAACATAATTAAAAGATTCAAGGAATCTAGAGGGATTTCATTCTGTAAAGGGCAAGAGCACAAGCCTAAGCTGGATTACTATGCTCTCTGCACTGCATCAAGAATCGTCACTCTTCTATAAGCGATACAACCACATGGGCTCAGGACTACTTTGGCACACCTGTGTCAGGCACTACAATACGTAGTTATATCCATAAACTGTACAACGTCAAAAAGGAAGCCCTATGACAACAGTGTCCAGAAGCACAGTCGACTGCTCTGGGCTCAGAGGCATCTGGGATGGACCATCTCATAGTGGAAACATGTACTGTGGTCAGACGAATCAGCATCTCAGGTCTTTTTTGGAAAGGATTTGACGCCGTGTTCTTGGGACCAAAGACGAAAAAGGCCATCCAGTCTGTTGCCAGCAACAAGTCCAAAAGCCAGGGTCTGTAATGGTCTGGGGTTGTGTCAGTGCCCTTGGCAAAGGTAACTTATTTATGTGATGGCATCATTAATGCTGAAAAATACATAGAGATTTTGGAGCAACATACGCTGCCTTCAAGACGACATCTTCTCCAGGGAAGCCCATGCGTATTTCAACAAGACAATGCAAAACCTCATATTGCACATTACCAAGGCCTGGCTGGGGAGGAAAATTGTGTGAGTACTGGACTGACCTGCCTGCAGTCCCCACCTGTCCCCAGTAGAGAATGTGTGATGCATTTTGAAATGCAAATTGTGTCAACAAAGACCCAGGACTGTTGCGCACCTTAAGACTTGTTTGCAGGAAGAATGGGACAAAATGACTCCTGACACATTTCATCACTGGGTGTCCTCAGTCCCTAAACGGCAATGTTTTTCTGTCCCTACTTGTTTAGGAGTGTGTTGCAGCATCAGAACTGAAGTGAGTGTTTATTTTGAACAAAGAATAACATTGATGAGGTATCACATCAAATAATGTGCTGCTGTATTGTTTTCAATGTAATACAGGACAAAGATGATTTACACATCACTATTTCCAGTTTTAATTTTGATTTTACATACTATCCCAACTTATTCTGATTTGGGGTTGTAGATTTATAAGCATCTGTATAGCATTTAAGCAGTGGTGGAAGAAGTACACAAATTGTTTACTTAAGTAAAAGTAACAATACTACCGTGTATAAATACTATTACAATTAAAAGTCCTGCATTCAAAGCCTTACTTAAATATAAGTATAAAAGCACTGGCATCAAGATATACTTAAAGTACCAAAAGTAAAAGTACTCATTAAGCAGAATGGCACATTTCACATTCATGTCCAGTATATAATATTGAATTATTGGATTATAATTGTTGATGCTCTATTGTGCGCATCACATTTGATGTTGCAGCAAGTAAAGGTGTGGCTCATTTTAACAACCTTGTATGTTTATAATATGAAATACCTCTGGGTATTTTGTGAATTTCTCACCAGGCATCAATAAAGTCTTGTGATTATATTGCATGTTGTATAGTTTATTGGTTCTGGAAAGTACCAAGTAGGCCTAACTAAAGTTATCAAATAGATGGTAAAAAGTATGAAGTAGCAGAAAATGAAATTACTCACAGAGATAGGGTACCTCAAAACTGTACTTAGATACTGTAGTTGAGGGAATGTAGGCTACTTTGTTACTTTCACCCACTTAAAGTAAAAAAATATACTAGAGATTGAATCCAACCTTTGTTCCCTCTGCCTTGTCATAAGTCATAATGTTGTTTTTTTGCAAAGTCATCTTGCAACGTGGCAACTTCTCACGCAATAATTCACTTTTTCTCAAAAAAAGGCTAATGGACATAGGATAGCTGAAGCTATACCAGAACATACCATGGAAGCTGAACGATATCCTATCTTGCTGAACCAAAAAGCTATTAATCTTATCGCCTTTGACAACGTCGATGAATGGTCAGCATTTCGCTCGACAGTTTAAACACATCAATTCATTGATCCTGTCTTTAATAACCGATAGAGGCATCTAAAAAAAACCATTACCTTCAGACTGTGCAGCTCTGTGTTGTTTCCATCAAACGTTGGAGCTCGAGTGTCCTCGAAATAACAGCTTCCTGTTGAATCGCCGCAAGAGGGGGCGTTAACATCCACTCACTCACGCAGACTAAAGAAAGTAAACCCCAATAGACGTTATGAAACAATTGATTACACTAATATAATTTTAAGTGTTCTTATATAACTACAGGCTGAATGATGTGTGAGAACAAAGTAGTCTACAGCTCAGTAACTGATAGGCTATAGTCCTAGCCTACTTACCACAGGCTACAGTTTACAGGTAAAGATTACGCACATGATGGTATTTTCATTATCTCATAATTTGTTTTCATTGTTAATACTAATTACGAAGTAGAAAGGTATAATTACCATGGTAGGCTATACGGGGAGCGAAAATTACAGAATAAGAGCAAACATAACAAGATATTAAAGACGTAAGCCTACAAAGAAAGTAAAGTTAGGCCTGTGCCTGGTTGTATTTCAAAAAGTTGGCTAAAAGAAAAATATTAGGCCTGCTACAATGTTTTGGTTTATTTGGTTGGCTACATGTACCATGATAAAATCTTTACTTTATCGTATCATTTTGGAAGCAGGTCATCTTTTAATCTTAGGGCAGGATGTTGATGCCTGAGCGCATCAGGCATGTCAAGATGTAGGTTATAGATTCCGAATACACCTTACACATGTATAGCCTCGTAGGCAAACACAGACAGTGGTCTGTAAGCAAATAGGCGAGTCTCAAATGTGAGTGAGACGGGAACACACACGCGGGAGGGGCTCTGTTCATTTGACCCACACAATCTGCTGGGACTTTTTGAGGGAGCTCCGTACGAAAAAGCACGCACAGCACCGACCAAGTAAGTGCATACGGGTGCTATCTAGTAGAGTTTTGAATGAGTGATATTGAACCGATATTTTATACATTTTCTATCCGTTGCTACCGACGGTGAATGCGGACTGTCTGTGTATGTCATAACACACTAGTTTGTCGCAGCAGTATTGCGTTCTGAATAAATACGGGAACGTGTGTCTTGGCTAGTAAAAAAATAACCCTGGGGTTAATGTATGGTAGCTGTTCATAGCCTGGGTAGAACTGTATTCAGCAAATACGGGAACGTGTGTCTTGGCTAGTAAAAAAATAACCCTGGGGTTAATGTATGGTAGCTGTTCATAGCCTGGGTAGAACTGTATTCAGCAAATACGGGAACGTGTGTCTTGGCTAGTAAAAAAATAACCCTGGGGTTAATGTATGGTAGCTGTTCATAGCCTGGGTAGAACTGTATTCAGCAAATACGGGAACGTGTGTCTTGGCTAGTAAAAAAATAACCCTGGGGTTAATGTATGGTAGCTGTTCATAGCCTGTGTAGAACTCACACAGAAGGTTTTATGATGTAAGTCCAAGGACGGCGAACTAGGCTAGAGATCGTGGGCTACGTTAAATAACGACGACTCGGCAGCATTTTTATATTTGAGTCTGTGACTGTAGAATTTTTACATTTATGACAGTGTTTCCTGAATTTGTTCTTTTATGATAGGCTACTACAGCTAATCATATCTCTTATAAACGTACAGGTTCGCCCTTCTGCAATGGAAAATGCGGACACAGACACGTTTTTAATAACTGGGGGATGTGGCTATTTTGGTTACCGGTAAGAATAATTTAATTTACCACTCAAAAGACGAATAATGTATTTAATGGTTTCGGGTATCTTGTGCTGTCACACTGCTTTACCACTACAAGGTGGCGCTATCAGACCAGTTGTTTTACTGACTACAACTGTGATAGATTTAGAAGTAGAAATATATGTATTTACTGTATTTTTGTCAGAGATTTACAGCAGTATTTAGTTAAAATAGAGAACTTGTGTTGAGTTTAAAGGAGAGATTAATCCATATTTAATAACTTTCCCCCTGCAGACTTGCATGCTCACTGCATAAAAAAGGAGCCAAAATTATTCTGTTTGACATAGTCCCTGCAAATCAAGAAGTACCAGAGGACATGGTGTTTGTGCAAGGTGACATACGTGACTATACACAAGTTGAGAAGGCCATCACAGGAGTGGATTGTGTCTTCCACATTGCCTCCTATGGCATGTCAGGTAGGGAGCAGCTGAACCGTCACCTTATTGAGGAAGTGAATGTTCAAGGCACACACAACATCCTGAAGGCTTGTGTTGAGCACGGCGTGTCCAGGCTCGTGTTCACCAGCACCTTCAATGTGGTGTTCGGAGGCCAAGTGATAGAGAATGGGGATGAAAGTCTTCCTTATCTACCTCTCCATCTTCATCCTGACCATTACTCTAGAACGAAGTCCCTGGCTGAGATGGCAGTGCTAAAAGCTAATGGCACAGTGCTGAAGGGTGGTTCTGGAGTGCTGACAACCTGTGCACTGCGTCCAGCGGGGATCTACGGGCCTGGAGAGCAGAGGCACCTACCCAGGATAGTTGGCTACATAGAGAAGGGTATCTTTAGGTTTGTTTATGGCAAACCCATCAGCCTGGTGGAGTTTGTCCATGTGGATAACCTGGTGTCAGCACACGAGCTGGCTGCAGAGGCTCTGACCCCGGAGAGGCAGCACTGCTCCGCTGGCCAGGCCTACTTCATCTCAGACGGCAAGCCTGTCAATAATTTCGAGTTCTTCAGACCTCTGATAGAGGGCTTGGGCTACCCTTTCCCCAGACTACGTCTACCTATCTCTCTCATTTACTTTTTAGCCTTTCTCACAGAAATGATTCATCACCTCATCAGCCCCTTTTATAATTTCCAGCCCCTGCTGACACGCACGGAGGTCTATAAAACTGGTGTGACACATTACTTCAGCATAGCAAAAGCTAAGGTGGAGCTCAGGTATGAGCCCCATGAGTACAACCTGGATGAGATTGTACAGTGGTTCAGAAGCAAAGGCCATGGGAAGAAACATCACAGCTCCTTCCTCAGTCGATTATTACTGGGCAGCCTGTTCGTTGCTGCCTTTGTTGCTGTGGCTCTCTCTTTTCTTCTAGTCGCTGGCAATTGATGGGCAGCAAAACCAAGAACATCATTATGCCAGGCCCCTGCTGTGTCAAGACAGTTCATAAATAGGTGTGCAGTAATATGTCAAGTTCCATGTACACGCTGTCTACAGACCAACCGTGAACGCTAACGGGACTTGAGCACCATCCCTTTAATATACCATCACATGTGAGAATGATCTTACAACTTCTTTATTATATTCTAGTTGTCATGTTTAGAGAGTATATGTCTAATGCTCCCTCTACTTTTGCACAACAGTTAGCTCTTGAAAGAAAATCTCTAGGGGCAAAGATTTTTTTGAAAATGTATCTTCTTATAAGAAAATACGAAAAAGAATGTTCTGAAAACTGTAAAAATAAAAGTCAAACGATGAATAATTGGTGATTTTGATTTTGTTAAGGTTGTGGATATGTTGTAATTATCAAATGTAAACATTTTCAGCCAAGTATAAGTCATGCCATTTTCAGCATGACTTATAAATACAGTCAACAAATACTACAAAGTGTACTATAATCTCCATTTCTGGCCATCACAGCAGATTTTTTTTTTCATTTTTTGGTTTCCTTTGTTATTTAAATGCAGAATCCACACTGTAGTCTGTTCAAGTGTTTTTTTTTTTACATATCAAAAACAATACATGTATAGAATGCAACATTTCTTTTATACTTGGGGTATCTTTCTACTTCATGTATTATTACCATTATCATAATATTCGTATTAGTAGCCTATCATAATCTGTATCATGTAGGCTACGAGATAGGGCGACATGCAATCTTTATACCACCAAAAGGTAGAGAAACTAGCGTTTTAAAAGGCTCTGCCCTCCTTATTACCGAATCACTGCAGCTTATTCCTGGTGTAAATGGAGCCGGACCAGGTGAGGCGTGTTTTGTGTGGTATTTTAGTCTGCCTGGGATGAATGCAGACATCCCCTTCTCTTTTCAGACCCGGCAGCTCCTTGCTGAGTTGGTCACAATCATTGTTTCTCTGCAGCATTAACCACATTCCAGAGAGGCGAAGCGCAGCCCGTCTCCATCCTCGCATTCCTTTTACGCAAACGAGTCCCTGTTGTGAAACGTTGTTTTGATTAAATTTTATAATGTTTGGTATACTCAGACTTATATACAGCCGATATTTGCAGCGTATCCGATTATCCAATATGTTTTAATTTCTGGCACAGTGAATATAGGAGAAATCTATGGGGAAAACCAACAAGGAGAAATTCCTCCGCGCAGCGCGCCATTGACTGTAAAGACCTTTCAACTTAACAAAAACTGAAGTTGATAAACGCATCTCTGTTGCCTGAAACTGTGAGAAAGAGTTTGTTTTTTCGGCAAAGAGGACAAAGCAGAAGTAGACGATGTGGCACACGGTGGAAGTTTCTGGGCACGTTGGTGCTTTTCTGTAAATGACCGACGTCTGTATCGCGGCGTTTTGTTTTGATTTCCATGTGAAATGCAATTAGTGCTTGGCGGTGTTCGCTAGTTCGGCTCGCGGAGCGCAGCTCTCTGAACTTGTTTGTCGCTTCGGGAGCACGACATGGAGCATTATCAGGAAGATTTGGGACTCCGGGCCACTAAATTGATGGAGGACCTTTCCGTGTATGATGCATATAAAGACGGGATGTTCGATGCAAAGAGAGACCTGGTGATTAAGCCCGATTTAGACTTTTCGGCTTCGGCTGTAGCAGAGCATAAAAGTAAACCAATGAATGGCACCTCTGTGCTTCACCAGCAGCATCACACAGTGGAGAATTTCACGTCTGGGAATAAAGTGTACAACGCGGCTCCAGTGCGCCCTGTGAATTGCAACCGGACCGTTCCTGTGGATTTTTGTGCCCCTCAAAGAGACGGAGGGTACGGCGAGGAAGGCTGCTGCACCATATCTGAAGTGGCTTTGCCGTGTTATACGGGCGCTTCCGAGAGGCTCAGGAGATACTCCCTGGAAGTGCAGGGCCACAGGTACAGCA